GTCACTACCAGATGTGACCGTCTGGTCACATATTGTATTGTCAAGCCTTGGTAGTAGACGAGGCTTGGGGAGTGGAGGAAATGATATAAGAAAACTATATGCTGGCAGTGCCTCTTCGAGGATTTGAATATTAGATGCCTACCCAAGCAGCTATCATCTGTTAAAAACAATTGGTTATTTCCAGTTTTGGCCACAAAGAATTCAGTGATTTAATAATTGTCGCTAATACACAATCCCAAGGAAACTATCTTCTGCCCATTATAAATTTTAAAAACGGCCCCATTGAATAACATTTTTTATATTTTTTTTACATGCATGAATGTTCTATTGTAGTATTCATGGACAGAAAAAATACGTAGCTTGATCTTCATTTCAAAGAAAAAATACATTTGTGTATTTTTTTTATTAATACATGAGGTACATCTGCATTTGTGTATTAGCGACCTCGGACACAAGACCATTTGCTCATAAACCATTTATCATACTGTATTTTGTTAAAACTACAAATGTGTTTTTTTTATTATTATTATTATTGGGGGACTCTGGCTCCTACTTAGGTGCTCCTAACTCGGACGTTAACTAAGTCATTTGTAATGTACACAAGTCTTAGAACATTAATAGATGTGAAATTTAGTCTTGAGAAGAGAATCAGTAGATGCTTGATATATTTCTTGACCTATTCAACTAAGTACAATATTGTACTTCCTGTACTGTATACTCGGTTGACTTCATCGCGTATACACCAAGACTTTTGTATTCTGTATTGTTAATTAGACTTTCCTTAATTTTGAGTTACAAGTAGGTTATAAGTTCTGTGAGGAAAACTGAGTTTTAGCTGGCGATATTTTGTATTTCATTTATCAAAAGCAGTATATCATCAGCATCATATAAATCAGTTTATGTATTCCCATTGGAATACTCTACATAAATCCGCAATATGTATATTCCTGTTGGAATACATGCACTGCTGGTGCACATAGCTTTTACTTAAGCACATCCTCCTGTTTTGGTAGTACTTATAGTAACAATGAAGACCATAGTATATATACCGACGTACAACGAAATTAGAAAGTAGAAATCGGCACCTATTGAGTTGGAGAAACAGAAAAACTATTTTCTACTTGTTGCAAAGACGAACTAACCTAACCTTCCTAAGCCTAATACACGATATCTGAGTCCTAATATAGTACTTGTGTGCTATATTAGGCCTACGAATATTTGTTAAATTTGCTTTTTAGCTTAATTTTTTTCGACTATAAAATGAATGTATTAAGTTCTACTATTTAATTGCCTAGAACTGCAATCTTTTTACTACGGTGCACTTAGTTACAAAAACTACTATCTAAACAGGAGAATGGGTTGCTTTTTTACTTTTAATTATAAGAAACCTGTATTCTTATAATTAAATGGCCTTGTGTCCTACATTTTTGTAAGTTTCGAAGAACCACAAGCAAGCAAGTGAAATTGTCATGGTATTGCTGTAATATCTTTGTGTCTGCTAAACAACTGTAATTCAGTAGGCATTATTGCCTAGTTCACTCTGTTCGTGTATTTATATTTCCCCCAATGTTAGATAAACAATATGATAGCAGTCAAGATAACACTGTTTTGACAAGGATAGTCAAATAGTTATGACTAGATCAGTCAAGTTTAATTTTGAAAGCGTATGTGCAGATTTACAGACTGGAGAGTTAGTAATTAATTTAAGATCTTACTAAAGTGACATGCTGTATGCATATTTCGCATCTTGAGTATGCAAATGGAAGTTGAGTAGCTATTTATAGCCAGCTGTATGCAAAATTAACAAGCAGCAAGGTTATTGTGTAATTAGAATACTGTATAAGCAAGTTTGCTTGATTATTCTTACAATAATTGCATAGTAATTAGAATTCAAGCATGTTTGCTTGATTTTTTTTGCAATAATTGCATAGGAGAAATTAGTAATTACGATAACATTTACAGTGTTGTATGCAAAATATGTAGGCTTATGTAAGTTTAGCTAGAGAATTGCTTATGTAGAATTTGGCAATCTTTAGTGGCAGGTTTAGTGGCATAAGATTTGTCAAGGAGTTCTGATTAAGATATAGATATCATCAGGTAACTTAAAAAAGTTAGGAAATAATTGTGAGAGCTATGCCCATTTTCATTCAGTTAATCATGTCAGTTGGTAATCACCTGGAACAGTCCGAAGGAAGGGGGATGTTGCTATTCTATAAGGGTAGTTGCTGGTTCTATAAGGGTAGTTGCTTGCTGAAAGAACCAAGCTGCTGGGTCTTCCACTTGGAGTTTAAAAGGACAGACCGGGAAATATATGCAGATAACTATTAAGTATGAGTAGGTTCTGCGTCAGTAGCATTACTTATGCATATATATATTATTGCTGGTTATCATTTAGTGGATTTATTCAACTGATGTATTAAAAAAGATAAGCTGGCCTAAATGGCAGTTAATTATATTTGGCAACGATAGGAGTGAAGTAGCCATAGCTGAACATCTGCTCGTGTTTGAAGTGTCCAGTAGCCGTGTGGACTCAGTAGAGGTAGGATGTATTGATCATTAATCTGTGTTAATTATTAATGTCCATTTTCAGTTGAACATTGTTGCTACAAGTAATATTAATTCATGCTCCAACTTATGTTTCAAGTGAATAGTTAAACGTGAAGTGAAATACTTTCGAGTGTCACCATCCATTTTTCATTTCATTTTTAGGTTTATTATTTATTGATGTCCAGTAATGCTAGTAAATTTTTGCCTGCGCTGATTTAACCCATTCGTTCCAGCAGACTGGAAATGGGGATTGTATTGGCAACATTGTAAATAATCAGTAAGGAATTAAGGTGTAGTGATTATACAGTTTTTCATTGTGTAATATATTGTTAAACTGTTACTAATAGTTACTAGTATTGTTAAACTGTTACTAGTTTAGTCTTATCCTTGTCTAGATATGGACTCCATGCTGGGGCTGCATACTCCAAGTGCCTGACATATGTAGTATACAAAGTTCTGAAAGATTCCTTACACAAGTTTCTGAATGCCGTTCTTATGTTGGCCAGCCTGGCATATGCCGCTGATGTTATCCTCTTGATATGGACTGCAGGAGACAGGTCTGGCGTGATGTCAACCCCCAAGTCTTTTTCTCTCTGAATCTTGAAGAATTTCATCTCCTAGATGATGCCTAGTATCTGGCCTCCTGCTCCCTACACCTATTTTCATTACATTGCGTTTGCTTGGGTTAAACTCTAACAACCATTTGTTCGACCATTCCTTCAGCTTGTCTAGGTCTTCTTGATGCCTCAAGCTGTCCTCCCCTCTCTTAATCCTTCTCATAATTTTGGTATCGTCAGCAAACATTGAGAGACATGAATCTATACCCTCCGGGAGATCATTTACATATATCAGAAACAACCTACTTACTTACTACATACTTTATATCTACTCTTCGACGACAGGGTGTTAATCTTGTTCAATTAGAAGCTTGATTGGGGGTCGGGCTGGAAGAGGACATTTAAAACTCGGTAATGGTTAACTGGACACAACAACACTTGTATAAACTGCTTTTAGTTAATTAGTGTATTGAATTGGCTTAAAAAGTACATAATAAGTCGAGGGTAATATTTGAGGGAACTTTTGAAAATGGAAGTTGCCTAGAGATTAATGTAGCAATTTTTAAGTTATTGCAAATCAAAATCTCTCGCATAAAATGGACAAAAGGTATACACCTTTACAAATGGAGACAGCCATAGGCTATTTTTTTAAATTGCAATCTAACTAAAAATCTAAAATAATGTGTGTGCATTGTATATCGCTTAACCGTAAGACTGCAAAGTGTGAAAATTGATGTATAAGAGTACACAGGTTCACACTGCCACGTGATATTAATTGATGTTCATCACAATAGGAAACCTAAAGAATAGATTTCTGTTCATAAATACCTATAATTACCACATTTGACATATGTGTATCTATTATTACCTGTTGACCAAACCACACACTAGAAAGTGAAGGGACGACGACGTTTCGGTCCGCCCTGGACCATTCTTAAGTCGATTGTCCTCGTCTGTCTATTATTACCTGATTGTAAGATGAACCTTGTTATAATTTATAAATTTTGTATGTCTAATTAGGCTTTAGGCCCGGCCCAAGGTAAAGCTTTAGTTAAGCCTGGCCTGGGGCCGGGCTTGGGGAACAAACTCCTAGAACCCCCATGAAAGAGGTATAATAATTTTAGTGCCAGTGACATTGTCGCCTCTGAGAATTTTATACCAAAATAGAGTTCAAAAACTATTTTGGGTGTTTCACTTCACCCATGTATACAGCGCGCACTCATTTTCATTGGAATATAAAATTTGCAAATAAGATGTACATATTAATCCATTTTGCAAGCACTAATATTGATATTAGAATTTAATTATGTAAAATTCTGTTACATTCACGTATTTGGATTTTTTTTTCATATTTTTAAACTCATTTGCAAAGAATAAACTCCTAGCCTTAATACAGTTTCTAAATATTTTAAGATTTGCACATATGTTTGGGTCCAACTGACACTTAGGCTGCAACCCAGTGCATGGTTAGACAATGTATTAATCACATTTCTAATAGACATGATAGCCTAATTTTATGAACTGTTAATTGTGAATAACTCCTTTTTAAGGAGTGCTCATGATCGTTACCTCAGGCTGGAGATGGAGCCTGATACCTAATCAGTATATATTAATTACGTAAAAGTAATCAATTAATGTAATATATATTACTTTTGGCTAATTGTAAGGGCTCTCGGGTCTATTGTGCTGTTTAATAATTGCTGCAAATGTCATAATTGTTATGGTTCTTACCTTGTATCACCTGCTGTATTTCTCTACTAAATTATTGTATGTAGATGAAGTGAAGTGGTGGTTCCCCTGCTCACATTGGCATCGTCTCTTCGTCAAATTTATCCGCCACATGTTAGTGGTGTGAAATATACAGATTTCATGTAAAGGGATAAAAAGACTGGAAGGTTACAACAGAGTTTCTGAGATCATTTATTTAAGAGAAAACATACTGTCTGTGTCTACGACACCTGTGTAGCCTAAGTACAAACAACATGGATGACGTCGCGGTTGTCACACACCTAGGACGCTTGCACGAGCGGCGCTGTCCTCGTCGGGGCGGACGGGGCGCCGTCCTCTGGGAGTCTAGTTACTTAGGAAGTAACCAGGACCCGGATGCATAAAGTAGTTACGCAAGCACTTACGAGCCTGTACATCGTTTCTCAATCTTTGGCGGCTTTGTTTACAATTATTAAACGGTTAATGAGCTCCGAAGCACCAGGAGGCTGTTTATAACAATACCAACAGTTGATTGAGAAGTTTTCATGCTTGTAAAATGTTTAATAAATGTAACCAAAGCCATCAGAGATTGAGGAAAGAAGTACACGTTCGTAAGTACTTGCGTAACGGCTTTATGAATCGGGATCCAGGGTCCGCCCCTAGGAGAGAGGGTTGGGGTACGAACCGTCCGCACCGCACAGCGCAGCTCGTGCCTCTTTGTACACTTGTTGGCGGCACCTGTACCCTTGGTGGCCCTGGCCTGCACCGGGGCGGATGTACTACTCTCAACTCTCCAAGGCTGCTAGACTTTACAAACAAAACAACATTCAGTACACAGTTGTGTGAGGTCGGTGATGGTTAGCTGACGGCAGACGGTGAGGCCACAGCTTGGGGTTAGTACTTGGTGAGACTGGTGACAAGGTCTCGGCCTAAGAGTGTTCTTTGCCGTCGTCTCCACCACCTTCAACCCACTTCAGACAAGCACGCCATATTATGTTTTAGAGGTTGCAGATCCGTTTACCAGATTACATATGACATTGAAGCTATGCCGTACTGAAGTGTGGTTGTACAGGAGATTACCACCACATAGATTAAGTAGGTAGTAGAAATAAGTACAGCATGATAAGGGTGGTTTATGGTGGAGCTCAGGCAGGTTGTACTGGAAGGGTCTGAGAATGACCCAGCGTGACAAGCACACAAGTCCTCAGCATCACGAATCTGGGGAAAGGGGGGGAAAGAGATGGGAGAAGGGATACAGGTACAGAACTGAGTCTGCCTTTTTTTCATGCTCTGTTTTTTAGTTTTGATTTACACTATTTGGGATTCATGTTGAACCGAGTGTTGTATGACATGAAATACCACCACGTACAGGTATTGTGTGTAAAATGTCTCTCCTCTGTGCACAACGTAACAGTAACAAAAGTTGATCTGGAAGGGTGGGTCTATGATAAACGTCAGTACAAAAAACTGAGACTCCCCCCCCAACTTTGCGCATCACAAAATGAGGGTGAAATCTACCAAACCGGGACATGGGCTAGAGTATCTTTTCTCCAGGACTCCCTGCTAACCCCCACCGACCCCCGCACCCACAGCCAACACCCCCACTTAGACCCTAACACAATGAGTCTGTGAAGAAATAAATGTTGTCACCTAATTGCGATTCTTAAATTCATAATTAAGAAAATTGTGTGCTCGCGTGCGTGTGTTAGCATGCACAAAATATATATATATATATATATATATATATATATATATGAAAGGGGGTGGTAGGACAAAAGAACATGGAAACTGCATTGGAGGGGACCCCAAAATCCCATCTAATGCGTTGTGTGTGCTCTTCTCCGAGGCTATGGCTCTTCTTCCAGCCACAGGTGGTACCTCCCTTTCCATTTAAATAACATTTTATATATATATATATATATATATATATATATATATATATATATATATATATATATATATATATATGTGTGTGTGTGTTTATAGCAGGGGATAGTGCAGGGTAGCATGGCTCTGGGAGACGGGAGGAGGGTCCGAGGCAGCGCTCAGGTCTACTACTGTACAAGTGAGGTGATGGGACAACCCACACACCCCGACCCGAGTATAAAACCTTAAATATTAATATGTACATAATATACATGGATGCAACTAAAGACTTCCTGTGTGCTTCTTGCACTCCTTGCACTCCCGAGGTCTCTAGTTATCACATATACAAGAACAGGTAACGTTAAGAGGGTAACTTTACTCTTAGTTCCCTCAGTGGGCAGAAGTGAACCCATTGGTCGTCATTTGACCAGACACGGATTTTTTTCCTTTGGGTATTAAATTTTTTCCTGTGATTTAACACCTGCTTATTGTGTTTCTAAATACAAGCTTAAATTACTTTTTATCTGGCTGCCCATCGGGCAACGATTAAAAGTTTACAAATTTTATTTTCATACTTTTTTTACACCCTGTCACTGAGAATCATGCATTATATGTTCCTTCGCTTCACCGAGTGTACAAAAGTCTGATATCACCCAATGAAGCATATTTCGAAATTTGTTCTCTCCACACAACACCTAAATATCCTTAATTTCCTGTGGTAACACTTCCCACTAAAGTGTTTACGGACTAGTCACCCTCCGTAACTCACTGTGTGGACGAGCACCACGACTACACCGCTGACACCCTCTCATTCCACCTCTGCCAAGACCAAAACAATCCTGCAACGTCGGCCATACTCCCGCTGAGACGGAGTATGGGAGGGAGGAATCCTTTTGCCATTGGCGTGGGAGCACAGAGTCTTGTTGTTGTGGAGATGTGCTTGTGATGAGCTCCCGCTGTATATGATGATGTCGATGGTGTGAGAGGTGGTGGCGGCGAGGTGGGCGGCGGCTGGTGGATGGGACCTTCGGAAGGGAGTTGTGCGGTTCATCACCGGAAGGCAGTGGCTAAGGTGGGAAGCTGGAAGGAGGAGACGGGCGTGGTGTGGGTGTGGCCCGGGGTCTGGGCATGAGCGACGGACGTGAGGGCGTGGGCGGCGGAGGAGAGGGCATGTGAGGCGGCGGAGGTGGGCACGTTCCCAGGGGTGAGGCCAGGATTCGTGCCCAGAGCCGCCTGTCACATGCTGCCCATGTAGGGCCAGTTGAATGTCGACCCGGAGAGCAGCATATCCCTGTTGGCGATATATTTTATAGGTAATACATATGGGCATCGTAGAAGTAGAAAGCTCATTTGATTAAAGTTTATTCGTGGAATTAGGAAAACAAAATAATGATGTTATTGTATGAATTTCATCTATATTACAGTTCATCCTCCTGATTTGGTAGTACTTGCACTAACGATGAGGACCATAGAATATATTCCAACGTACAACGAAATTAGAAAGTAGAAATCTGAACTATTGAGTTAACCAAACAGGAAAACTATTTTTTACTTGTTGCTTTGACAAACTAAAATAACCCAACCTTCCCAGGCCTAATATACGATATCTGAGGCCTAAAGGGGCATTACTTGGGTTTTGTAAAAGTTGTTCAATGTCAACCAATATTTTTTTACTAGTTGTATATGAAAAGCGCTGCAATTGTTCCAAGTTTCAGTACTGCAGCGTAAATAGAAAGGGAGAAATATTTTTTTTTTTCTTCAACGAATTTTACACATTTTTAAGTTTAAATAAAACAATATACCTTTCAGATATAATCATTCTGTGACACTTTTCTGACACATTAGCATATAATAAAGGATATCTTGTTAAGGATTTTCCAAAACATCTTTAGTTTTCCTAATACAAATATTCAAAGTTCCCCCCAAAAATTATGCAAATATCATGTTTATTGATATTATAAAATCAATAAATGAACTTAGGAAAAAAGATAACTTGAAAGTTTAGAGACATATACTTTACATATAAGGTGTAAGTTTCATGTAAATTGAATAAAAATGTAAAAGTTATTCAAACGTTTATGTTAGTTGAAAATACATAAGAAAATAATAAAGTCTAAGGTGCTGCCATCTGTGGCTGAGGTTGACATTAACCAGTTTTTTCCAAAATTGGCACCCTTACAGATAGCCTTATGTGCCGTCAGGTGTATAAGTTTCATGCAAATCGTCCGATAAAAAAGCAAAAAAAACAAAAAAAATTGAAAAATTTTGAAAAAAAAAAAATTCTAATAAAACTATAATATTTTTTAATGTATGCTATTGTGATAGCAAAGAGTCATAGATATGATTTCAGTTGACACTTGTGTTTGATAATCGTTTTTGACCATTTTGGAATAATTTTGACACCTACTTCAATATTTTTTCTCCCTTCCTATTTATGCTACGATGCTGAGACTTGGGCCAGATGAAATTCTTTTCATGTACAACTCGTCAAAAAAGTTTGATTGAAACCGAACCAGTTTTCATTAAATGCATTTTTGGGGGAAATCGGGAAGTCATGCCCCCTAATATAGTGCTATACTAGGCCTAAGAATGTTTTTTAGCTTCATTTATGTTAAAAGAATTCCTTACTAGTCAGTATACTACTATCTAAAAGCTAAGTACAGTACGAACAAATTCGTGACTATTGACAACCGTCCCAATAGGTACTATCTGAACAGGAGGATGATTTGCATAATAATAATAATTAACATGTTCCAATGAAGTAAACACATCATGGTTGTGATTTTAATTTTGTTAAGTATGAAGTACAATGCAACAACAGCTGTGGTGGGAGATGTTTATACCTGATAAGGGTCTCTATGGGCGTCTTGCCGACCAGTCTCACGAAGAATAGCTGTTCTATAACGGTGGAGGAGACTGTTCGTAGGGAGGGGAGACGGAGGAGAAGCTTGCCGAACCTGGTGGGCTGGTTGGGGTACTGCGTCCGACAATACTCCTCCAGGGCACACTGAGACTTCTCTTGGAGACCCTCGATGTGCGACAGGTCACTCAGTCCGCACGCGTCTGTAAAGGGAAATATATCTATTAATGTGGTTGCTCAAGTATAGAATATAGAACACTATAATTTAAAGGAAAGTAAAAAAATAAAATGAACATAAATGTTTTTAGTATCATTATTACGAATAAATACGTAGGCTTCAGACATTTCGCTGCCGTTGAACCTAGGCCTGATAGCCTATATGAACACGATTGTAAGAACATACAGCCTAGCCTAAGAATGAGTGATTTAAAATGGTGGAGGTTTAGAGAGTACAATAAAAACCAGTCATTTGGGAAAGTGGATATTTGTTATTATGGAATACTACCTGTTAGGCTGCACGAGTTGTTTGTTGAAAGCAAGTTTCGCTAACCATTGAACCTGCTGATGTAAAACTTAATTTTCATATTCATAAGAATACAAGTAACTGCAAAAAGCCTATTGGCCCATACGAGGTAGCTCCTATTCATAACTACTTAATCTTATTCATATATATGTGTAACTTACCCTTGAAACAGTCAAGGGATTCTCCTTCTATTATGTTAATAATAATATAATAAGGTAATCATATATATTATATATTCATATATATAACATATTAAGGGTTTTAATATCTATGTTGTGTTTTTGTATTTCATAGGCTATTCAAAGTACAGCACTATAAATTCATGTTATATTCACTACATGTCTAGCTAAATCTTTATTTTTGCCAACTTTTCTTTCCACTTAAAATTGTAAGCTGCATGCATTTCAACTTTCCGCTTTTCTATATGAAATGCATTCTTTTAGTCTTGATTATTAATTTCACTATTTTTGTACGTTATAATATATATTATGTATTTGTATGTATGTCGTCCCTAATAGCCAGATCTGCTTAAGCCGAATTTTCAGGAAATATTACAACAAATCAAATTTTCTTATGAAATGATAGTTTCACTGTATTTATATGATTGCAGTTTTATGGAATATGAGTCAAAACCAACCAAACTTATCCAAACGTATCCTAACTTAACCTAATATAACTAAGTTAGTAATTCATGTTCCTAATATAATAGATTATTATCGTTAGAAAATAATATATATATATATATATATATATATATATATATATATATATATATATATATATATATATATATATATATATATTAAATATGACCGAAAAAGTAAGATTAATAATTCTAACACGAATTTTCTCAATCTTTCGTACATTTCTTTTCACTGTTGGAGGTAATTCAAAAATCAATTCTCCAAAATTCATTTTTAATTTTAGTCTGACGCGACACTTGAGCGCGTTTCGTAAAACTTATTACATTTTTAAAGACTTTACACATACACAACTGAATAGAACTTACATATCTCCGATTTGTTTATATCTACATTTGAGTGAGGTGGATGGGGTGAGGTGGTATTTAATAGGGTATTAATTTCATCAACATAAGACAGAACACGAAACAATGGGTATTGAAATGGAAGTGATTGTAGAAAGCCTATTGGTCCATATTTCTTGATGCTTCTATATTGGAGCGGAGTCTTGCGGTGGGTAGAATATAGTTGTGCATTAATTGGCTGTTGATTGCTGGTGTTGACTTCTTAATGTGCAGTGCCTCGCAAACGTCAAGCTGTCTGCTATCGCTGTATCTATCGATGATTTTTGTGTTGTTTACTAGGATTTCTCTGGCGATGGTTTGGTTGTGGGAAGAGATTATATGTTCCTTAATGGAGCTCTGTTGCTTATGCATCGTTAAACGCCTAGAAAGAGATGTTGTTGTCTTGCCTATATACTGGTTTTTTTGGAGCTTACAGTCCCCAAGTGGGCATTTGAAGGCATAGACGACGTTGGTCTCTTTTAAAGCGTTCTGCTTTGTGTCTGGAGAGTTTCTCATGAGTAGGCTGGCCGTTTTTCTGGTTTTATAGTAAATCGTCAGTTGTATCCTCTGATTTTTGTCTGTAGGGATAACGTTTCTATTAACAATATCTTTCAGGACCCTTTCCCCCGTTTTATGAGCTGTGGAAAAGAAGTTCCTGTAAAATAGTCTAATAGGGGGTATAGGTGTTGTGTTAGTTGTCTCTTCAGAGGTTGCATGGCGTTTCACTTTCCTTCTTAAGATGTCTTCGACGAAACCATTGGAGAAGCCGTTGTTGACTAGGACCTGCCTTACCCTTGTAGGGTAAGGCAGGTCCTTACAAAATAATATATATTACAAATAATATATATATATATATATATGCAAACAAGCCTGAATGGTCCCCAGGACTATATACAACTGAAAACTCACACCCCAGAAGTGACTCGAACCCATACTCCCACAACTGGTATGTACAGGGACGCCTTAATCCGCTTGACCATCACGACCGGACATAAGGAAGTGATAGCCGAGGCTATATGAACCACTTCCCCGCCGGCACTCGGATGGTAATCTTGGGCATAGCATTTTATCAAATCACCTCATTCTTTGGGGCACACGTGAGGAACACAAATGCAAACAAGCCTGAATGGTCCCCAGGACTATATACAACTGAAAACTCACACCCCAGAAGTGACTCGAACCCATACTCCCACAACTGGTATGTACAGGGACGCCTTAATCCGCTTGACCATCACGACCGGACATAAGGAAGTGATAGCCGAGGCTATATGAACCACTTCCCCGCCGCCTCGGGGAAGCCTCGGCTCTATATAGTCTCGGAATATAGAGATAGTCTCTATATAGTCTCGGAATATATATAGAATATAGCCTCGGCTATCACTTCCTTATGACGTCAAGCCGCCTGCTATCGCTGTATCTATCGATGATTTCTGTGTTGTTTACTAGGATTTCTCTGGCGATGGTTTGGTTATGGTTATATAATCTCTTCCCATAACCAAACCATCGCCAGAGAAATCCTAGTAAACAACACAGAAATCATCGATAGATACAGCGATAGCAGGCGGCTTGACGTTTGCGAGGCACTACACATCAAGAAGTCAACACCAGCAATCAACAGCCAATTATTGCACAACTATATTCTACCCACCTCAAGACTCCGCTCCAATATAGAAGCATCAAGAAATATGGACCAATAGGCTTTCTACAAACACTTCTATTCAATACCCATTGTTTCTGTTCTGTCTTGTGTTGATACTTTTAATACCCTATTAATATCCCCTCCTGTTCTGTCTTGTGTTAATGCCACATCACCCTTCCCACCTCACTCAAATGTAGATATAAAATCAGAGATACGTTCTAATCAGTTGTGTATTTGTGAAGTCTTTGAAAATGTAATAAGTTTTACGAAACGCGCCCGTGTCGCGTCAGACTAGAAATAAAAATGAATTTTGGAGAAGTGATTTTTTATTTACCTCCAACAGTGAAGCGTAATGTACGAAAGATTGAGAAAATTCGTGTTAGAATTATTAATCTTACTTTTTCGGTCATATTTAATAATATATATATATATATATATATATATATATATATATATATATATATATATATATATATATATATATATATATATATATATATATAATAATAATAATAATATGGTGTCACGGTGCCTTAATGCACCAGTACACACACACACACACACACACACACACACACACACACACACACAGTGCCACACAAGAGGCTAGTGCGAAAGTTGGAGATGCAGGCTGGAGTGAGAGGGAAGGTACTCCGGTGGATAGAGGAATACCTAAGCAACAGGAGACAACGAGTCTGTGTGAGGGGTGAGGTCTCAGATTGGCGAGACGTCACAAGTGGAGTCCCGCAGGGGTCAGTCCTTGGACCTATACTGTTTCTGGTATATGTAAATGATCTCCCAGAGGGTATAGATTCGTTCCTCTCAATGTTTGCCGACGATGCAAAAATTATGAGGAGGATTGAAACAGAGGATGATAGTAGGAGGCTACAAGATGACCTGGATAGACTGAGTGAATGGTCCAACAAATGGCTGTTGAAGTTCAACCCGAGTAAATGCAAAGTAATGAAACTAGGCAGTGGAAACAGGAGGCCAGGCACAGGATACAGAATAGGAGATGAAGTACTTAATGAAACAGACAGAGAGAAAGATCTAGGAGTTGATATCACACCAAACCTGTCTCCTGAAGCACACATAAAGAGAATAACGTCTGCGGCATATGCGAGGCTGGCTAACATCAGAACGGCGTTCAGGAACCTGTGTAAGGAATCATTCAGAATCTTGTACACCACATATGTAAGACCAATCCTGGAGTATGCGGCCCCAGCATGGAGCCCGTACCTTGTCAAGCACAAGACGAAGCTGGAAAAAGTCCAAAGGTATGCTACTAGACTAGTCCCAGAACTAAGAGGCATGAGTTATGAGGAAAGGCTGCGGGAAATGCACCTCACGACACTGGAAGACAGAAGAGTAAGGGGGGACATGATCACAACCTACAAAATCCTCAGGGGAATCGACCGGGTAAACAAGGATGAACTTTTCAACACTGGTGGGACGCGAACAAGGGGACACAGGTGGAAGCTGAGTACCCAAATGAGCCACAGAGACGTTAGAAAGAACTTTTTCAGTGTCAGAGTAGTTAGCAAATGGAATGCATTAGGAAGTGATGTGGTGGAGGCTGACTCCATTCACAGTTTCAAATGTAGATATGATAGAGCCCAATAGGCTCAGGAATCTGTACACCAGTTGATTGACGGTTGAGAGGCGGGACCAAAGAGCCAGAGCTCAACCCCCGCAAGCACAATTAGGTGAGTACAATTAGGTGAGTACACACACACACACACACACACGGCCACTTCTCAAGGGGCCCAACACCTCCGGAAGTCTTGCTCTCCCAACAATGTGCTGCTCCCGCCCAGCGTCTCCTTCTTTATGGATTAACTTCTTGCTCACGAGTCCTCAGACCGGAGATTGGTAGCAGCAGCGGGGATTACACATTTCGGAAGAGCTTTACGTCCAGGGTTCCTGGGAGCTGGCTGGGGGCCATGTGATAAGGTATAGAAACATACAGGGCCATGGGTAGGGTGCGCCAGTCGCCTCTCGGACAACTGAACCCATT